TGATTGAGACTTTCGCCCTTGCCAGCATAAACTACACCTTGCACACTAACGTCACAAGCGCGTGCCACCGTGGTCGACATCCCTAATGACTGTTTCATGAGGGGCACATACTAGTTGGACGATGTTGTCGGAACTGTCCAACAAATTGGATACCGGGACAAAATCATATGTTATTTCAGCTCTGGGCTTCAAACTTAGCCCAAATCAGTCCAAACTCGGGTCCAATTGATCCCTAATCGGGTTATAAGATTAACCCTTAATCCAAACCCTAATTACATGCAAACTACGAAATTAAGACATAGTTCTAAGTAAGTTTTTAATCGGCAACATCGAGTTTTCTTTCGGCAAGCTTTTCGATGAATTTCCGGTGGACTTCCGATACACCCTCGAATTTCTTCCGGCGGACTCCCAGCAGGCTCCCGGTCTTGTGGCGAGTTCAGCCAGTCTTTGACAAGTAGTCGAACCTTCTCGGTGATCTTCACGAACCTCCAACGATCTCTCTGGTGGACTTTCGAAAACTTTGGCAAGTCCTCGATTTCTTCTCGGTTGGTTTCGACAGCACTTTCGACGAATCTTCAGACTCTCGACAGATTCTCAAACACTCATCGAACTTGACTCCGGTAGACTTACTTTATGTCTTCAAGCTATCGTAGTTAATTCCTCACAGCTGGAGTTCAACGATTCATGCAACATTTCTAGGGGAGGTAACGCTATTTATCATGCTATTAAAGTGCAATTAGTGGTCGCATACCCATCCATGGTTCTAAAAATTGTGATTCTCGACCAAGTAAAATGACTGAGTTGGTACTTCCGTATTTGCGGCTCTTGGCAGCAGCGCGCGCCTATCTTAAATTTGATATTTTTCGGTCTAGAAAGATAAATCAGAAAACAGGACACGAAAGAAGCCAGAAAAACTTCACGAATATCTAAATGTTGTAACAAATCTCCAGTTATTGTTATAACATTAGCTTTACTTAGTTGATAATTAATAGTGCAATCATAACCCTTTGAATGTTTTATTTATTTTTGTTATTTTATATTCAGTTTTTTCTGAGTAAAGATATACTTTAAACTATCGATATAGATTTCAAATATTCATCTATAGAGTAATGTGTCCAAATCTTTAGAGTAAAGATAATTATTACTAATTCTAAATCATCAGTTGGATAATTCTATTCATAACTTTTCAATTGTCTATAACCATAAGCGATCATTTTTCTATCTTATATCAAAACACAACCAACACTTTTTCTTCAAGCATTTATATAAACTAAAAATCCATCATTATCACTAAGAATAGTGATGATAGTGCATTGGTCAATCTTCTTTTTGACTTTTGAAAACGTCACTTAATTCTTCACCCCATCCAAATTTTACATTCTTTAGGGTTAGTTTAATGAGAGGACTTACAATTTGATAGAATCCCTCCATAAATCTTTCATACTATTTATGATTAATTAAAAAAATAATTCAAATACTTAAGGATTTTCTTAGAGCTTATGTTATGGATTGGAAAGGAGATTGAGATAAAGAATTTTTCTCTTATTGAATTCACTTTAAGCATTTAGATGGCTCCTTACGAAGTTTTATAAGGGAGAAAATACAGAATGCCTATATATTGGGAAGATATTGGCAATAGAAAGTTATTTGCACCAAACAAAGTATAAGAGATTATCAATAAAATTTAAGTTCTAAAAAAAAATTAAAGCCTACTCAGAGTCATCAAAAGAAATATGCTGACGATAAAAAAAAAGATATTGAGTTTAAAGAGATTTTGTATTTTCTTGTAAGGGTATGATATGATTTGAAAAGAAAGAAAAGTTAAGATAGATTTATTATACATTTTGAGGTCATTAAAAGGATTAGTTTTGTTACTTATAGGATTACCTTGCCACCATCATTTTATCATATTTATGATGCATTATTCTATGTATCAATGCTCATAAAATATATATCTAATCCCTCTCATATTTTTAAGTATGAGTTAATTATGATCAAAAGACTTATCTTATATGAAAGAGTGCACTCAAATAAAGAAAAAAAGATTCTAAGAAATATGATTATTCCTTTTGTTAAAGTGATTTGGAAATACTATTATGTTGATGAAATTATTTGAGAGGTAGAAGAGGAGACAAAGAAAGCTTACCCCATATTTTCATTTATTAAGATATGATAATTTAGAAAACTAAATTTTCTTTTAAGGGGATAGAGTATAATATTCTTTATTTTTGAATTATTTATGATATCTATGATTTTTATTTGATTAATTTAATGTGAATTTATTTAATAATTTTTGGTATTAAATAATTTTCCATTAGAAGTGCTAGGTTAGAGACCTAATTATGAATCTTATAATTTAAATATGATTTATGAAATAATTTATATTAAGTTAAAAAAAAAGAAACAAGGTAGAGGACATGTGTTACTAGCTAACATAATGATTGTATCACTTATGCTTGTTCCATTGATGACACATATTTCCTTGATGTATGCTTACCACTTTGTCATCTTTGTGTTGACTAAACCAAAGCAATTATAAAAGAAAAATAAATAAAAAATAAAATGATAAATAAAGTAAATAAAAAAAGAAAAGAAGAGATGATAAAAAAAGATACAAAAGAAAGAAAAGAAAAATGGATAAAAAAATAAAATTATATAACAACATGGTGAGTTACAAAGCTCAACAAGTAACTAAGATATCCATGACAATGAGATGATATATCATATGACCTTAATTTCAAGGTAAAAAGTATGAATACAAGTATCATAGATGTCATTTCATTAGTTACAAAAGATATCATTTCATTAGAAGCATAATAGCAAAAGGTAATATATAAGCTATTCAATATCAAGATACAAATCATTATCTAAAAAATAGAGTCATATTTGATATTTCTATTGATTCATTCTTAATAATAGAATAAATAGAATTTAGGAGTATATCAATGGAATAAAGAATATTTAGGAACATATCAATAAAGTAAAGAGTATTTAAAAGTATATCAATGAAGAGCGTTTAGAAACATAAGTTGAAGTATAATATTTGATATTTCATTTATATCCAAAGAGCACATACGTGTGAAATGGGATCATAATATAACATGATCTATCCATTTTTAGATGACTATTAATATTAGCCTTTTATATTTGGAAGCTCTATCCACACATATTTGAATGAAGTCATCGGGGCCGAGAGTATTCTAAGCTCTACACATAATTCCCTTTTTTATTTTTGATAAAGATTCATAATTATCTTTCTCATTTCTAACAAATGTTTACATTATCCTATAAATATTATAATACAAAAAGACATTATGAGCATGAAAGTTAGTATGTATAGAAAATACATATGTACATATGAAACAATATGAGATAAACATAAACTTTTATATAATTCAATCGATGTTGACAAAAGATATAAAATTTAAAGTAGCTATGTAGAACTCAATTAAGAGAAGAATTTTAGCTTAAATCAAGTTTAAAAAGGTAGAAACAAGAATAGATAAATTTAAAAATAAATCTGTTTTAGTAGAATCTGAGGTATATTACATGAGATATTTAGATAATAAATTATGCTCCAATTTAATAAATCTCAGTACAAAAACAAACGTAAAGCCCATGAACTACTAACCAGATCAAGTATTTAAATCATTGACTTCCAAGCATTTATTGCTACTGAGATTTATGGCCATGTTTGTAGCGAGTGACTTCCTTCTTTCCCTTTCATTGTACCTAGGTCATCATTTTGATGCTAAAACTACAAAATAAGAACGGATCTCAGGAACTCAAGGAAAGAAATAATAATACTGGAAGCAACTAAGACAGTTCCTGCTTCTGACACCCCTAGTGCATCTTCGAAACAACCGTTGTTATGGTTTTCGAGAAGACTGACTCGGGACGAAGCTTACGTTCATCCGCACGAATGAAAGGGACTCCATCCGCTGTTACGACTTCTTTCTAAAAGAACTACGGACATCATCCGCACAAATCTTACGTTATTGGAAGACTGATTCAGGACAAATAGGGTTTTCGAAAGGCATTTCCAATTATTGGTAGATATTACGGCTACCAATGAAAGATCACAATCCAAACCATGAGAAGCCGAATGGAGGCGGTCTAATTAGGATTAGGGATCTCAGGTTACAGAGATGTCGAGATAAGTAAATAGAAGATCGAATTCGATCGCCGCAATATGAACATCGGCAATAAGAACAATATCAATATGAGCAATCTGGAGCGAGAAGAAGTGAAATACGAACAATTAGGGTCATCTAGAGGGAAAAATCATCGGAATAAAAGCATTACGGCTACTAATCCCAATCCAGTTCCGAAAGAAAACCATAGTCAGCTGTCTGATTAGCAATCAAAAACTCAAATCACAGAGAGATCGAGATAGCTATACGAAAGGTACGCGGATTCGATTATTACAGCGATACACGTTGTCACCAAGAAGAAGATGGAAAAGTCTGGGACGATCGACGGAGAAATGCGGGAGGAAGAGGCCTCGAGATAAGATCGGGAGGAAACCGATGCTCTCTCTTTCGATCGCCAACGACCATCGGAAATAACGACATCGTTTCGAATTCGAGGGACGACAAGGCGCCCAAACCGCGCCATAAATAGAGGTCCCCAAATGCGATTCCCACATCACCGTTACGATGCATCAATAACAAATCCAACGGTCGCTAGTAGCCTAGTAGTGGAACAATGTGGTACTGACGAGACAACCGTATAGTATTTCTACTTTGATGCATCAATCACGGATCCAACGGTTACGAGCAAGTTTCTATAAATATCTAGTCCGTAGAGTTCTTCCCACCCACAATACAATACAAGCCCACGAACGAGAGCTTCCTGACTCTTAATTGGGCTCATTGAGCCCATTAAGGCCTCCAATTCATAGTCGCATCAATAGTATTTTTTTATTTGTAGAAATTATCTTAAATATTTTATATGTTACGTTAACACCTTCGGGGACGACTTAAGTTACCATACAAGACGGCACACGAATCATACCAGATCCCTGCTAATCGTGTCACGATAAAACCCTAAAAACCCGACCTATCTTCTTCTCTACTGACGTCTTCCTTATCCCGGCCGTCAATGGCGAAGACCGCCGCCCGCTCCGATCCCTCCAAGAAGGAGAAGAAGAAGAAGAAGGGGAAAGGGGCAAAGCGTCTGCCCTCCGGCCCCGCCGCTGCTGCCATGAAGGCGGCGAAGCCGCCCCCCACATTGAACCCCTTCGAGACCATATGGTCTCGCAGAAAGTTCGACGTCGTCGGCAAGCGACGTAAGGGTGAGGAGCGTCGTATCGGTCTCTCCCGATCTCTCGCCGTCGAGAAGGTGCTAGACTTTCTTCCTCCATCTTCTTCTTTTGCCATCATTATATCCCCAAAATTCTACTCGTTCCTTTAGACCGTCTTTATTTTCTTGTTTGAATTTATCTTTTTATGGTTCTACGAGGTTCGTGATGATTTTCTTGTTTGAATTTATCACCATGAATTATCATCTCCCATAATCTTTGTTTCTTGAAAAGGCTTTTCATAACTTGCTTTAAGTTATTTTTATGGTTTTACTGAACTCTTGACGGTTGAATGAAAGATGCAGACTTATTAAAGACGAAACTTTCATGACTATCAATCTCATTTCATCATTTTGCTTTATCGAAAAGATCTTTTTCATTTTTTGTACATAGCTGCCTTTGAGGGTTCTTCTTAACTGTTCTTGGGTTCTCAGTGACATGGGAAGATGACTTTTGATTACCATTGATGTCGTCTCTTATCATTTATGTTCCTCGAAAATATGTTTGCCTTTTGTTGTTTGAAGTTGTTTTTACGGTTCCTACTGAGTTCTTGATGGTTTAAATAAAGAAACAACCTGTTGGAGAAGAAACTATACGTTGGGTTCCCAATAAAATAGGAAGAGAACGTTCATCATCATTTATCTCATCCCTAATCATTTGAATTTTATGATTCTATTGAGTTCTTGATGGTTTAAATAAAGACGCTTCTTGTTGGAGAAGAAATTAAGATGGAAAAAGAAAATTTCATCACCTTCAGAATTTCTGTTACTGGATAAGATTTCTGTTCTTTCATGGTTCTACAGAATTATTAACCGTTTAGAGAAAATGGAACTTATTTAGAGAAGAAATTGGAAATTGCATCTCTTTTGGCTTTTCTTCAGTTTTCACAGATAGAGGAAGAAACTTCCATCATCCTCATCTCTCATCATTTTCATTCCTTGAATATATCATACTGCATAGTTATGGCCCCACTTTAAAATGATGACATGTGGCATGTTGTTGAGAAGATATGAAACAATTCTTTTGTTTTGATTCTTGGTTGTCGATGACAGAGGAAGAAGACTTTGCTGAAGGAGTATGAGCAAAGTGCAAAGTCATCCGTGTTTTTGGACAACCGAATTGGAGAAAAGGATGATACTCTACAAGAATTCGACAAAGCCGTGTTACGTCTTCAACGTGAGCGCCAGGTTGTATTTTCTTCAAATATGCTAATTTGAACTTGCTTTTTCCCAGCAATCTACTCAATGAATTATGTGATTCATTTCCATTTAGCTTTCTAGCTCTGTGAATGTATATCATCAC